TGGAAACTTGGCAGGAAGATTATGTTCTTAGCCCAGCAGTAGTGCTACTATTTGTTTTGTTTTTAATGAACAAAATCGATTTTGTACATTTTATAAAATGCAGATATGAATCTAATTCGCTGCGAGTTGTTCAAGTACAGTTTCTGTTCCGTTTCACCTTTAAGGCAGCTCGAGGGGAGCTGGTGGGAAGTACATTTCATGAGAAAAGATTAACCCTGAATTCGATTGGATTCACTTATATACTTATTCCCAGAATGGTAAAGCTTGGCTCATGTTTTAACTTGCCCCAAATGGCAACTCTAGCCATGTTCTTTATAAGCATTTTGTAGCATCTTGGCATCAAACTGGAAAGAACCCGACAAACATTTTCATTGAGAATGTTACCTTCAGATGAGTCCAGGCTGAAAGAGAAAGCCTCCGCTCCAAAGCCTCAACTACTTCATTCTAAAGTTTGTCAAGTCTCTTCTGAGGAAATCCTTCTGTAGCCTATGGCCTTCATCCCTTTCATGTGGGGAGGTAGCCAGCCACTAACTGCCCCCTCCCCTCTACCACCTGAAGTACCAGGCTCCTTTGCTCTTGCTTAAGATGGGCTCCCACAACGCCATCATTCCTATTCCACCCTGACCTCGCCAGCCACGTTCTTCCCTGGGTCGTGTCAGGAATGAGCCTCGGCCTGCTGTTTATGAAAACATTTGAAGTAAGCTAAACTTCTGTCTCCAATTCATTCTGCACAAGACTGACTTATTTTAAAATGGCAACTCCATTTCGAGGTGTCCGGCACTGCAGAATCACTGATACCGTAGCAGATTCTAACCCTGTGTCAGAGACCGGAGTGAGAGCAGCACGTAACTGTGGCCAGGGCTCACCACAACCTTACTGTGCGGACATGGACACAGAGGCTGAGAGAACAACTGGACAGAAAGTAGGCTGTGGTTTGAGTGCTGACCTCTGGGCATCTGTACTTACCTCCTCCCCACGTCTGCGGACTTTCCCAAACCTTCTCCACATTCTTCTTCCTTAGTGAAGACTGCATTATATGTCATCATTAACAGAAACTTTATGTATAGGTCTTATTTAGAGCACACAAAAGAAGTTTATGTAAAAATAGCATAAATAAATAAAATGGTTACTCTGGTGAAGGATTTCACTTTCCTTAACAGTTTCGATTTTTAAATGAGTCAGAACTTGAAAAACCGTTCGCCATGAGTTGCTCTGGTAGAAAAGTGTGGTCTGAGGCAGTATTCACAATAGAAAGAAAGCTCTTTAACAGGACTCTTGTCTGCAAGAGAAACAAATTGCTGGGACAGTAAATACCGAATCTTATAGGGATGAGCTTGTAGGCCAGTCCCAGTTGCCCTTCTGTGCTTTTCATGCCTTCTCGGTTTTCAGCATTGAGCATATAGCACTTGAGTAATAGAATTGAAAAGTAAGCTATTTATTTTTAATATGACAAGTTAATGTTTGTATCTGAGTATAACTTAAATTTCATAATTTCCATTTGGCAAATATAAAAAAATAAGGAAGAAAATTGATTACGAATAATTACACCCTTTGAGTAGTAGAAATAGTTTTCCTTCGTTTTTTTTTGTTTGTTTTTTAATTTTTTTCAGGATTTAAGATTTGGGGTTGGGCTAGAAATTCATCTCTAGACTTCTGCTCGATTCATTAGATAACTGCCCATTTCTAATTCTGTTATCTTGTGTCTTGCAAACCATCAGTAACTAGGATACTGTGCTCACATACAATGATATATCTAGACTCTGTTGACTCTAAGTTAATTTTAAAAGGGCCTTGAGGGTTCTAGTGGTTAAATGTTTGGCTACTAATTGAATGGTGGGCAGTTTTCCTAGGGGAAAGGTGAGACTGTCTACTCTCATAACGATGACCATTTTGGGAAACCAATGGGGCAGTTCTGTTCTGCCTGGAGGGTGACTTTGAGTCAAACTGGACTCGACAGCAGTGTTGCGGAGGCTTTCTTGTTTGTTTTTGCTAAGCTAGATATTCATAGACTCTTTTAATTTTCATTAACCACAGAAAAGCAGTTCTAAATGTAGAGGTTTCCTAACAGGAATGGTAAATGTGGAGAGAGACTAATGAAGGGCCTGCAAGAGTCTCTCCCTCTGCCTCTGCCTGAGGGGCTGACTGTTGATCTTTTCCATAAAGGCCAAAGTCCTGCGTTCCTGCGATTCAGCAGGGCCACAGGTATTTGTCTAATGAGAACTGCTGCAGGTTTGAGTAGTGTAGACATTCCAGAATGTTGACCCCCAGATCAGGCCTTCTCCCACAGTGCCATGCTTCCTCCCTCATTCCATGCTTGATTGAGCCTCCAGCCTTGAGGTTTATAAATACTTGTGATTGTATTAACCTAGCCTTTCTTGGGAATGATAAGTCAGCCTCCATGCTGGGCTTTTGTTTCAGATCTTGGGAGAGTCATTTGGTCCCTGGGCCCAAAGAAGTACAGGAACCACTTGGGTAGCCACTCGGCTTTTCAAAGATTAGCATTTTTGTAGAATGATAGTCTAGGACTCTCGATTCTCTTCTTCTTAATCTAAGTGGATTCTGGGTTTTATGAAATGGGAGAATGTTGAAACTAGTAATGTTCTGAAAGAGCTAGACTCCAAGGAGTTTCAAAAATATTGAAGTAATTCTTTTTCTTTCTTTCTTCCTTTTTTTTTTGAGTTTTCTGCCTATCATTTTGTAAGCTTCAGTGTTTTTCACCTGCAGTCTGGGTATATCTTATTTTCTGACTCAAAGAATCAAATAAAGCTAGAAATTCAAAATAAACTTTAAAGGTCAGTGTAAGACATGAAAAAATAATAATAATTTATAAATTATCCAGGGTACATGAGAGAGGGGAGGTGGGAGAGGGAGGGCAAAAAATGAGAAGCTGATACCGAGGGCTCAAGTAGAAAGAAAATGTTTTGAAAATGATGATGCCAACAAATGTACAAATGTGTTTGACACATGGATATCTGTATGGATTGTGATAAGAGTTATACAAGCCCCAGTAAGATGATTATAAAAATAAATAAACAGTAGAAAAGTGGGTGAAATGAGACAACAATCGGTGTAAGACATGGGGGAGAAAAAAAATTTATAAATTATCAAAGGGTCGGGGAGAGGAGGATATGAGGAGCTGATTGATGCCATGGGCTTAAGTAGAAAGCAAATCTTTTGAAAAAGATGGTAACATACCTACAGATGTGTTGGATAAAATGAATATATGTATGGATTGTGGTACGAGCTATAAGAGCCCCCAATGAAATGGGTTTTCTAAATTAAATAAATAAGTAAACTTTAAAATCAACTATCAAAAAATAAATAAATGAATGAAATTGACTATCAATGGAAAAATATGGGAATGGATAAGGGGGATGTTGAACAACATGATGAACCTGACTAATGTCACTAAACCAGACATGTGACGGTAAATGTTTGGGTACATTTTTTACTTATGCAAACCTTGTTAGCATCAGAAAAAAGATACACTCTTATATCCACATTCATTTACCTTCTACACTCCATAACAAATTAACCTTAAAACGTAGTGGTTACAGCAATAAGCATCTATTACCCCACAATTTCTGTAGGTCAGGAACTTGGGACAGGTTAGCTGGGCCATTCTGGTTTGGAGTATTCCTTGAGGTTGCTGGCAAGATGCCGGCTTGAGCTGCAGTCATCTGAAACCTTGAGAGAAACCGCAGTTTGCCCGTCCAGAGTGGCTCCCCACACCACTGGTAGCAAGTTAGTTCTGGCTTTTGTAAAGAGACCGTAGTGTCTCACCATGTCCTTTTCTCCAGGGAGAACCTGGCGGCTGATTTTCTCCAGAGCAAGTGATTTAAGACAAGAGTAAAATGGAAGCCTCAATGTCTTATGGGCAAGTCTCGGGAGCCACACACTGTAATTTCCACCATATTCTTTGGTTGTCCAGGTTATAGCTTTGTACTGTGAGAAGCAGGGCCTAAGAGGATGAATCTCAGTACACAGATTTGGGGGAGGAGAGGGAGCATCCTGGAAGTTGGCTACTCTGTACATCTTTCCCCTTTGACCCCTCAGTTGGGAGAAGAAAGACAGGAATGGAGAGTGATGGCACTAGAAACACAGAAAGGTAAAAGTAGGTGGAGTATCAAACAAGTCGCCTCCCTCCAGCTCCCAGAGCTGCTGCCCACATTTTTGCCTAGGACAACCACAGAGCATGGGGCAGGGGGGCAGCAGGGCTTTCGAGGTTCTAAAGTGATAACCACTTGCATTTCCTTCCCCACATCGGAGTTGAGAGCTGCTAGAGAAACAGATGCAGACGTAGTCTCATGGAGCTCAGCACGCCATCCTCACTGCTCGTGGTGTTATACTGAATTGTGGCCACAGCCTCTCCTCCACTCCCCCAGACAAAGACAGTCCCTCTGGGTGAGAATGTGGGTATGTAGAGCAGAGGGGCTTTTTCAGGACTGCTGCCTCATCCATGGTAAGTCCTAACGCAGAAGGCCGAGAGTGGATGGGCTTCTAGACCCGCCCTGGAAGATGAGCTTAACCCCGGGCCAGGGCAGAGCACAGTCCATTTAGCTGGTAGGCAGGCAGTTCTGAGAGAACTGAATCCACCGACTCAGTGGCTTCTCCCAATCGCCCAAATCAAGAAATCTGCTCTGTACTTGTTGGAGAAGAGAGAGGAGACAGATGGTTTGGGAAATGAAACCAGACTTTCCTTCTGTGTGGCTGAGGTACAGACACTGGGAGGTGACAACAATCGCCCCCGCTGTAAAAGGTCACTGTGGCAAACCAACCTGCGTCATCAGTAGTAGACTGTCACCCATGTTTGGACTCTGTGTTAATAACAAATGTCTACTAAACATAGGGTAGATGTATTTTTTGAGTTTTTTACAAATATTCTCAACAGTTTCATGCTAACTTCCTATTGTGCTTAGTGTAAGGTTGGTGCAAACTAAGCATACATCATTTGTATGGCTATTTCAAGCAGCCCTCATTGATACATGTCTCTCTCGTAGGCATAGGGTGGTGGTTTCCTACCCTCCTCAGAGTGAAGCTGAACTTGAACTTAAGGAAGGAGATATTGTATTTGTTCATAAAAAACGAGAGGATGGCTGGTTCAAGGGCACATTGCAACGTAATGGGAAAACGGGCCTTTTCCCAGGAAGCTTTGTGGAAAACATCTGAGGAAACTAGCACCAAGAAGGCATAAAGTCACATCACACTACAAAATAGCACAAATACATTTCGTGGACAGCACATCTGTGGACCTCCAGGCGATCAGGAGATGAGCAAAGGTCTGCGTGGGACTCCCCTGCTGCACAGCACAATTATACCAGCGAACAGTGAAGGCGGCGTGCGTGTGGGTCTCATTCCTCTTGAGTTCTGTGTGGAAGGTGTGCCTTGTACTGTCTGATTTACTGTACACAGATACCCTTTTGTTCTTGTTTGTTTTAAAAATATAGAGAATGGACAATTGTTTACAAGGCTTAACTAATTTATTCGCTTTCCTAAACTTGAATTCTTGTAATAGAAATTCTTTGGATTATGATTTTAAGAAATGATTAATTTATGACATGTTAGCTAAGGAGAAGCTGGATTCTCTCCTGTTGAGAGCCAGAGATTCTTTGGGGTAGAAGGAGTTTCCTCCCAACTCCCCTGGGTGTAGTCTGCTGCTTTAGGGCAGAAGTGCAGTGCTCTGATTTGACTTCCCTCTGAAGCATAAGTGGACCCCAAGAAATGTCATTTTCCTTGGAAACCAAAACACAAGGGAAGCAGTATCAATAAGATCCTGGGGTGGGGCGTCAGAAACTTTTGAGAGAAGAGGAGTTAGTGGTTCCCTGTCTTTCTGGGTTAGTCAGGAATCACCCTATAAATCCTAGTCCTTAATGTAGTTGTCAATGTTTGTAGAAGGAAATCAGCTAAGTGATGGAGATGACTACACAAAGCACAACTCTTGAATATCAATGTCCAGAGAATATATTTAGTTTAACGGAAGCAGCTCAGTTCACTGGTTGAAAGTGGAAGATTGAGGCTAGGCTCGCCTGCCTGAGAATGGCCTATGAAACGGTGTTTCCCATTTGACCCTAAGTGGTGTGCATGCCCCGACACAAGGAAACATTCGTGAGGTAGCGGTGATAAGTGATGCTCTCGTGTGACCGTCAAAGGCTGTGAGAAACACTGTGAAAAGTTTAGTCATCCATTGTGAGTCTGCCCCTGCCTTCTTGCATGTGTTACTGGATGCCCACAGTGATGTAGACTGGCCATGGTGTGTATATTTCATTACGGTTTCCTGTTGAGGGTAGTTTACACTCAGACTTGACCAGGACAGGAGATACAAAATAACCAGTATAGTCTTCCCTACCCCAAAGCCACTGCACAGAAAGGTCTCAGAGAACTCCCTTCTCTGGGTTCAGGCATCCTTTGGCCCATTACCTAAGTCAGTAGAGGAAATGGGCTTTTATGTCCTCCCAGCTGACAAACATAAATGATGAGTTGCACCAGGTCACTGATCCTACGACTGACTAGTTGTGCAGCCCAGAGAGGCTCGGCACAAGTGAATGTGCCCACACCTTACAATTGTGGCAGGACCCAGCTGAGCCAGACTTTATTTATCTAGTCTTTGAAAATGCCAGCTTTGTGGCTGCTTTCAGTGTGGTGCCACGTAGCCATGGCTCTGGGTCATCCTGGCAGCGAAAACGGAGAGAAACAGCCTGGTGGTGAGTGAAATCATCGCCACAGTTTTCTCATTAAAAAGAAACTTGGCCATTTTGCTAACATTTATGACTGGGGATTATAAACGTACACCGAAACGTCTTCTTGCCCTGTATAAGAGGGTTCGTGGTCTTAGAGTACAGTATGTGGTTGAAATGAAATCATTCCTAATCATTTGTTTCTGTTGTTTTTACAAAGTGCTGTACATTATGTTCTTGTGTGTGGGATTCTTTTTAAAAAGAAAAAAATCTTTACTGGGATAGTCATGTAATATATAAAAGTTGGTGAAATGAACTTTAGTTAGGCAAAAGCTGGCATCGGCTTTCATCGTCATAAGTTGACACCAATGTGTCATAATATTCTTTATTTTGGTAAATTAGTGTATTTTATAAAATAAAAAGACTACTACAAGTTAAGATAATTTTTTTACCTGTCTTTTCTCCATATTTTAAGCTATGTGATTGAAGTACCTCTGTTAATAGTTTTCTGGTGTAAAATTGGTTAAAATTTCATCTGTTAATAGACCTTTAGGTAATATATGTATGGATTTTCTATTGGTTTGGGTTTTGGGGGGTGTGGAAGACAGTAGATGGAGATTTTGTGATAAGGGCTTGTTAACAGTGAGATGGTAATGATAATCTTGCACTTTATCCTGCCTTTTCATGTGAGTCATTTGAGGACGGGATAAAAGGTTCAAGATTAAAATTTGATGTTCAAGCTTCATGTGTCTCCTGTGTTAATTCTTAACTTTTTGCTTAAAAAAATAGAGACATTTGAATTTATGATTCATTTCTGTAATAGGAATTCATTTCACACACTGCAGACAAACATGAATCAGGTTGGTGGCTAATGATGCATTGTGCCTTTCCAGCTAACAAATTTTGTTTGCAGACACCCCGGCATCTTAGTCTTTTAAAATATTTGTGGAGTCTCACAAGCTACTTCCTATAACATCTCTGCTTGCCACGCTCTGCACTGTTACAGAGCGCCCTCATGATGCGTAGCACTAGCGTGACTACCACACCTCTGTGCAGCCGGAGCATAGCCACCAGGTCTCTAGGACCCCATGTGGCTGGCGACATACGCTAGACGCCTCAGGCTTATCATGCTTCCATGGTATGCCAATGCATCTTTTCAAAGGAAATTGTAATCCATGTTTTATATATTCTTTTCCCTAATTCAGCTTTTGGTTTGAGTATCAAATGATCAGAATTGAAAAATCAAGAATTCTAGGTTTTATCTCCAAACACATTGCCATCAAGGTCATTCGGACTCATACTGGCCCTACAGGACGGAGTAGAACTGCCCTTGTGGGTTTCTGAGACCAGCTCTTTAAGAGAATAGAAAGCCTCCTCATTCTCCCACAGAGCCACTGGTCATTTCAAACTGCTGACCCTAGTGGGTGGCATCCCAAAGTGTAACCCACGATGCTGTCAGGGCTCGTCGGGGTTTATCCTAGTAGTGTCAAAAAAATATTATTATAACCCCTAGACAAGTTAATTATTACTTAGTTTCCAGCTGTTAGTGCCCTATCTTTCTTACTGGGTAAAGGTGTGGATCTAAGGAGATAATACCCATGTTTGCTTTGAATAATGCTATTTTAATGTAAGACGTTATTTTCACCTATGCTTTAAAATATTTCATCACATTCACTTAGATTATGTATATATAACATCTTTACTAGATCTAATAGAAAAACAAAAGCCTACATCCACCAGAGACAACTCTAACTCATAATAAACCAATATCGATTTCCAAGGTATAAATCTTTACAGGAGCAGATAGCTTCAATTTTGTCCCACAGAGGGGGATGGTAGATTCGAACCTCCTAACTTGTATTACCAAGTGTTTAGACCCCCAACACTTAACCAGTAGCATCAGACCTTGCAATTAGCAGTCCGGTGCATGACCGCCACGCCACCAGGGTTCGCTCCTTTGCTAGAGAAGGAGGAAATTGAAGGATCTGTTTCCAACTGCTGTGCATTTCTCCGTTCCAATGATAATAGGACAATGGTTTTATACCTTCAGGTGACTGTTTCAATCCAGGACTACAAATGATAGTACAAGTTTAGAAACTACTTTTATAGATATTAGACTAAGTTCTTTTTGTGAATCCATGTGAAAGTTTTTAAAATGTATTTTGAGGCAATTAGACTGTGAGATGGCCTCACAAGTCCATGGGAAAAATGGAGTTAAGATGATGAAATTTCTGCAAGAACTTTTTGAAGCCCCATTGTATGTACTTAACATGATAAGTACTTAATATTGTCCCATTAAAATTACTCCTTTCCCCACCCCCGTTTCAGTTTGCCAACTACCAGGAAAAAAAGGAGACAATCTTGACAAAAGAGATTAGCCAAAGCCTAGGGTTAGTAAGGGGAGTAACCCTTTATTAATTCCTGTGAACTCCAAGCTGTAGTGGGCATGCTGGATGGCTTTCCTCTATGGGAAGGTAATTATCACCCGAGGTGGGATGGAGCTATTAGAGTGGTAATCAGCCAGTGTGAATGATGACAGTTTTAAAGTGCCCTCTTGCTGGGTTACAAGTGAACTCACCCCACCTCCACCCCCACCTGCCTTCTCTCCATTGCTTTGTATTATTAACTTTCTGACTTGGCTATTTAGACTTCCATTTCAAAAACAGTGATTGAAAATTTTCACTTTTCTGCCATGACCCCAGTAACCATGTTGAAAGAACCTGCCAAAGACATTAATCTTCGAACCACTGTGCAATACTGTTATTAAAGTGTCAGAACACTTTAACGGTTCTCTACTGTCCCCAAGATAATACAATTATCCAGCTAGTAATCAGTGAGCTAGCTGCCCTGGGAATTACTTTACAACTGAGATAGCAAATGTGGTTCCCAAAGGTTTGTGACCTTAAAGCTGACTCTTTCAAGGTCTGAATTCTCAGAAAAGCACTAGAAGAGGGGCTGTCCCCAATCGCAACTATGTATAGCTGCCCCCC